TTATCTGACTATGAAAATAGAAACAGAGCCACCATTAACAGACGCGGAAGGAGATCTAGTCACTGCATCTGTTTCCTGTGACAGCTCTATTGATAGTGGCGACTCATCTGATTCACATCTTGTTAGTCCTCTGGCATCTGATTGTGAAAATAGAAACAGAGCCACCATCAACACTTCTAAAAGGTGACTTTGTTTACATTTAGATGCATATTTTTAAATGCTCTTAATGTGTTTGCCTTAGTTTCTGTTCATTCAATTACTAAAATTATTTCTATGTTTGTAAAGTATGGCGAACAAAGATCAGTCACGGAGAGCATCCTCAAAACCAGGTCATAAACTGCGCAACAATAAGCCACTGTCTAGCTCGCCAAAAGGGGTTCCTTTGCATCTGCAAATAGGCCGTGCAGGTGGTTTTTGCAGTGCACCAGATAGTTCAATGTCTAGTCCTAGAAGTCCAATGCGAGCATTAGGTCCAGAGCAAATGCGAGCATTTGGTTCGGAGCAAATTCTAAATTCAGGATTATGGACAGGGAAGCCTTATCCAGATATAGCTTCTGGGCACTGCTATAGTCCAGTTTCAGGCCATAATTCTAGTAATAATTCTGTTGGTGGGGATCCGTCAGCATTTAGGGCACCCAACAAGTGTAGTGCTGAGTGTTCCCCAATACCTAGTCCCAGGTTGACAAGCCCTGGCCCCAATTCCAGGATACAGAGCAGTAATGTCAGCCCTCTGCATCCAAAGGCTGGAGGAGCAGCAGCAGAGTTGCCTACAAGAAGACCCGATGTCAATAAACAACAAAGTCATCGGTTACCACTTCCTCCAATAAAAGTGACTAAACCTTGTCCATTTTCTCCAACCTATTCTGTGTCTTCAACTCCTTCAGCCCCCAGAAGTCCTGCCAGACCAGAAAATTCAACAAGCCCAGGTTCACGCTGGACAAAAGGGCATTTGCTTGGAAGGGGAACATTTGGACATGTTTATCTTGGTTTCAGCAGGTTTGTATTAAGTGTGTTCCAGATGCATGTATATGTAATATGCTGTTATTTTTGTATAGTCATATCCATTTTTGTGTGTTAAGATTTTGGAATTCTCACCAAGCAAATAGCATTTGAATTCGCACCTGTCCATGTTTTATTCTTTATCTGTTATGTCAACTCTGGCCCTTATTCCAAATTGATACTTAATGATTTTCAAATTTTGTCCTTTATCCATTTTTTTTTTTGAAATTTTGCATTAGTTTCTTTCAATTTTTAAGCTTGGCTTAGTTCAACTTGTGATTTTTGTAGAGAAAGTGGCGAGATGTGTGCAATGAAGGAGGTAACCCTTTTTTCAGATGACCCTAAATCACGGGAATGTGCGCAACAACTTACCCAAGTAAGCTTGCTAGTGTTACTGGGTGAAACACTATTTATTTACGTGCCTCGCACTTGTTTTCTTATGGGAAGTCCAATTTTTGTCTAGTTTACAATTAAGAATACACATGTTGACTTTCCCCCAATTTGCATTACTTTTCTTTGAGAAAAACCCTAGGATAGTTTTGGACCAAAGTGTGTGTGTCTAGTCTAATAATGAATATTCATTTATATGATATGGCATTTGCAGGAAATTGCACTGCTAAGTCAGTTGCGGCATCCAAACATAGTCCAGTATTATGGGTCTGAAACGGTATTTATTCAGTTATTGTTGTCAACTTGTCATTTAGTAAATGATTTCACTTTCAAGTTTGCCTACTTACAATCAAGATTTAGAAGTTCAAATTGTGTTGATTGCTTTTTAAAATTTTATACCCAATAGGTAGATGACAGACTTTATATATACTTGGAGTACGTATCTGGTGGGTCTATCTATAAACTGCTTCAAGAATACGGACAGTTGGGTGAAATTGCAATTCGAAATTACACCCGGCAAATTCTTTCAGGACTTGCATATTTGCATGCAAAGAACACTGTTCACAGGTGAGTTTGTGATTGATGGTAACATGTTTAGCATCTTTAATTGATGTTGTAATTTTGTATAGTAATATTTTGTGCTGGTTCGGTTTTGATCAGGGACATCAAAGGAGCAAACATATTGGTGGACCCTAATGGACACATAAAACTGGCAGATTTTGGGATGGCAAAGCATGTAAGCATTTACAAGACGTCTTCATGTGTATACTATGCAATCTCTTTGGGATTGGATAATTTGAGTGGAGTAAACTATCTTTATCCTTAAACTATTATGCAAGGGTGTCTAATATTTACCTATATCCGAGATATTTTGCAGATAAGTGGGCAGTCTCTTGCATTTTCTTTTAAAGGAAGTCCTTACTGGATGGCACCTGAGGTAAGTATGATTCCTGCATCCACATAAATCTTTTTGTCGGTGATTCTCTATACATAGTAATCTTATTTGAGTTACTTTCTCAAATATATATAGGTTATAAGAAATTCAGGTGGTTGTAATCTTGCTGTCGATATATGGAGTCTGGGCTGCACTGTTCTGGAGATGGCAACAACAAAACCACCTTGGAGCCAATATGAAGGGGTAAATGAATTTTGAAGTCATTTTGGATTTCAAATCTATTTTGTGATATACATATATGAATCTTTGTATAGAAACAAAACATTGATTGAATAACCTGTTTACGTTGTTTCACACTAAATGCTTCAGGTTGCTGCTATGTTTAAGATTGGGAACAGCAGGGAACTTCCTAAAATTCCAGATCATCTATCAGAAGAAGGGAAAAGTTTTGTCAGGCTTTGTTTGCAAAGGGATCCACTAGATCGCCCTTCAGCTGGTCAACTTCTGGAGCACCCATTTGTTAAAAGTGCTTTTCTGGAAAGACAATTTCTGACGGCCGATCCTTCAGATTCTGTTATAAATGCAATGAGATCACTGGTAAAAGCAATTGAAATGTTTTGACCACATTTTATTCAACTCCTTCATTTCTGAGGTGTTAAATAAATAAAATATAATATGTTGCATATCCCGAAAGTGTTTGTCTTTCATGTTCACATAAGGCATGATTGCATCCTTTATTGATCACTTCAAACTGTTCTTATAGGCCATTGGATCACCTAAACATACAGTATGTTTAGACTCGGAAGAAGTAGCTGGTATCCGCGGTATCCCTCCAGCAAGAAATTTCAGAACCGGTTATGAATCAAGGTGTCTCACTCTTTCTCAAATTCAATTGCACACACAGACACATGTCATGTTTGTGTAAAAAAGCAAATTGCCCTGTGCTATTTTTTGAGAATTTCTCAATCCAGCACCTCTTCCAGTTGAATATATTCAGTCAAAACCATCGTATATGTGCAGATTTTAGTACATATGGAGTGGATTGAGAAATTAGACCTGTTAAAATAGTGATTTTTTACTTTATATTTAAAAAATTAATTTATGAGAATGTTTTTAGCAAAAATATAAATCAATTTTTTAATTTTACCAACCAAAATTCGATTAAAAGTTCTTTAATATGAAAGGAGATGTTTGCTCATTTTTTCTTGCCCTTGTTTTCAGTTATGCTCATAAAGGAAGGATTGTCTCATGTCCCGTTTCTCCATCAGATGTACTACGTGTGCCTCCCAGATATATGAATCCAAATGGCAGGATATCTCCCTCTCCAACGCCTAATCCTCATACCGCATCTGGCCCTTCTACTCCGCAAATCTGTAGATGTACTCCGCAAATCTGTAGATGTGAGACAAATCCATACTATCAATCAAAGCAACCTATATTCCCTCATGAAGCTCTGGGTATTATAATCCAGAAATCTCCTACTGGTAATCAGTCAAATGGAAGAACTGCTTGTCAATGTGAGTGTTCAAAGCATGGTCAGTTACAGAGAAATACAAAACCCACCATTCAGTCAAGTGGAGGAGCAGCTTGTCAATGTCAGTGTTCAAAGCATGGTCAGTTACAGAGAAATTCGAAACCCACCATTCAGTCAAGTGGAGGCGCAGCTTGTCAATGTCAATGTTCAAAGCATGGTCAGTTACAAAGAAATACAAAACCCACCATTCAGTCAAGTGGAGGTGCAGATTGTCAATGTCTGTGTTCAAATTGTCAATGTCTGTGTTCAAAGCATGGTCAGATTCAAAGAAATACGCAACCTAGACAACAACCTTGCTGCCGTCGGGATATAATTTCACCTGAAAATAATGCTCTTGCAAACCATAGTAGGAGGGCCGTAGAGGGAGGAGTCCCAAGAGAATCTCATAATGGGAGGTCGAGTAATTGTGTGCCTCGACAACAGCGGGTGAGAGATAATGCCCGGCCAAATCGCAAGTCAAGTGCACCAGTGGTTGGTCGCACTAATGGCTTGTGATTATAGCAGTAGAATAATAGCAATTTTTTTTGTTTTACAAAGTGGCTGCTCTCTGTTTAAAATATTTTTTTTGAAATTTTTTAGGGCAAAGCAAATGTACATCACACTTTGCGCTGCTTTGTATTTTTCATTGTAGCTGCAAAGGGTAGTAGTGCCAATACAGATACAAATGTCTATTGTAAAGACAAAATCACAGTTGAATCAAGCAATATTTTTCTCCATTTACTGCATAAATTTTGAATAACGTCTGAAATGCAATGGGATTACGTCTGTAATGAATTGTATACTGCTTGATTTGAACAAAAACCATCTCAAACCTAAACGGGATAGTCTTGAGCTATATGCTGCTTGATTTGAACAATAAATGCAATGGGATTACGTCTGTAATGAATTGTATACTGCTTGATTTGAACAAAAAACCATCTCGAACCTAAACGGGATAGTCCTGAGCTATATATGGGATTACGTGTGTAATGAATTGTATACTGCTTGATTTGAACAAAAACCATCTCGAACCTAGACGGGATAGTCCTGAGCTATATGCTGCTTGCCAAGCTATTTGATTACTAAAAAGATTCAAGATGTATAAAATTTATGACTAACAACATCTAAATCTCTGAAAAGCTTTTTCTTATACATAGTTTTTTTTGCACATATGAAATTTGCAAAAAGTTACAAACCTCAGAGCTACTTTGTATTAGACAAACTTACACTTAATTCCCATAGTTTTTGTGCCAGCTCTGAATCTTTAGCTAAAGTGGTTGGGTTTGCCTTATTACTATCCGCAAAGTATTCACCAGATATTCCCTTGACCAGTGGATGCAATGCAAGATAACATTGAGTTGCAGCTCCCTACAAAAAACATGCCCCCAGAATTCAATTAGTAAACATCTGGTATAATAGCATGCGTGATAGGTAACCCTAACACACTGCCCTATATATTTTTGAGTGAGCCTGTGACAAAATACCTGTTGCACATTTTTAAGTAGGTACTTGCCCACCATATTAGCAACGGCTGCAAAAATCAAGTGACACATTAACAAAAGAAAAAACATGTTTTTAATGTCCTTTGGCAAGGTTATATTGTACATAATATTAATCTTCGTCATTGACTTTAGATCAGACGGCTCAAAGTACTCTTTTAATAATTGAAAGATACTTTGGAAAGAAAGTGCATTATTGACATGCTTAGGCAATAATTGAATGGTGTAGATACTAACCATTAAAATAACCATGGTGCCGCAAAATATTTGTTATAATTGTACCAGGATGAAGAGAGTTAACTGTTATTTGCACCCCTTCTTCCTGGAAAACAAACATATGCAAGGGTTCACTATTTACAATGGGACAAATCTATGCGGTAGAAATATAAGGCATTTTCCCTCCCAAGGATTTCAATAAACTCAACATTAATACAATAGATGTCTCAAAAGATTGCACTAAACGGTGTTAGAATTTCTGGATCCGTCAACGATTTACCGTCATGATGCACTAAAGATTGCATTAAATAAGGTTGAATCATATCATATGGAATTACATAAAAATTTGTGAGTTATACCTTCAAGCGCCTTGCAAGCTCATTGGCATGCAAGATATTCGCAAGTTTCGATTGTCCATAAGCAAAATAACTGCTGTATCTGTAAAAATCAGACATGGAAGGAGGAAATTATACAAGTCCGCAAACTTAAAACACTAAGCATGAACGGTTAACATTTAATAAAAAAGTTAATTAATAGAATGAGTCTTGTAACAGATGGAAGAAAGAATAATTGTAAATTAAACATTCCAACTAGATGATTACTCTGATTCATTGTTGATCTTATCAAAACGAATCCCTTCACTATATGCAAATCGGTGAGCCTCCGATGATACAATAACTATCCTTCCTTCCCGGTTGCATTCCCTTACAGTTTTTTTCATAGTCTCTATTAAAAGGTTTGTCAACAGAAAATGGCCTGCAAAATACAAACAAGTAAATTACCTACATTTTTTGTTGTGTATTATTAGAGAGTAAATAACAACTTTCACTTGTACCATTTAGAAAGATATATGTTGTAATGTGAGGTAACTTTGCAATCATATACCATATTACCAATGAAACTATGCAATCGTATACCGGATTACCGAGGAAACTAGGCAATCATATACCGGATTACTGAGGAAACTAGGCAATCATATACCGGATTACCGAGGAAACTAGGCAATCATATACCGGATTACTGAGGAAACTAGGCAATCATATACCGGATTACTGAGGAAACTATGCAATCATATACCGTATTACCTAAATGATTGGTTGCAAACTGCAATTCAATATTGTCTTGAGAAAGCATGAATGGAGTAGCCATCAACCCTGCATTGTTACTTCAAAAGAAAACAAATTCACTAAGTTTCAAATCCATCTAAAATATTACAGTTAATATAAGGACAAGATTGATACAGTCCTACACTTTCAAATACCAATTTGTTAAGAAAATAACAGAGAATTTCTTACATAAGAATATTGAGTGGAAGACCGGAGGAATTAAAATCCGATGCAAATTTCCTAACAGAAGCCAAAGAGCTAAGATCTAACTGAAAAACATCAATTTTAGCATCAGGAATTTCCTTGAGCAACGTTTCTTTGATATTCATACCATTATTCACATTCCTGACAGCCATAACAACATGAACACCACGCAAAGCAAGAACCCTGGTTGTTTCCAAACCAAGACCACTTGTTGCTCCTGAAAATAATTCAACAAATTCAGATAAAAAATTCATCTATAAAAAACAACCACAAATTTTCATGAACAAGAAACAAACCTGTGACGATGGCAGTGAGAGAGGTTCCATCGATTCCGTGAGTAACTTGATCGGCGGTTGAAGAAGCTGAGAAGCCCGACGGTCCTTTCCAACCAAGAAACCACATTTTTGTGTGTAACTGTAACTGTATAGTCAAACTTCAAAACAGGGTTTGAGATGAATGTTTATTTGTTTATTTATTATGTTTAAATAGTTATAAATTTGCATGATCGTAGTATTTTTCTTTTTTTGTTAGAAAAATATTTTGTAATGAAAGTGTTACTTAGTTGGAATCGTGTGGTTGGGATTTAAACAATGTTAATGGATGGTGGGTGGGTGGTCAATTAGATGTAATAAAATTATCATCACTAATTTAATGTGCAAGAATGTTATTTTTATTGCTTTGACCAAATGAATTAATCAGGATTGTTTCACTTTGGCTTTAATTAATTAATTAATGATATTTATAATTTTTTTTATTCTATACAAAAGTCATATATATATATATATATATATACATATATATATATATATATATATATATATATATATATATATATATATATATATATATATATATATATATGGGTGTTCACTCGAACCGGCGCAATAGAAAATCGTAAATCAAACAAAATCGAATTGAAAATCGAAAAAATTACATTTGATTCGAATGTGTTTGGGTCATATTTTACAAAACCGCACGATTCGGTTCGGTTTGTGGTTTATATTTTGCAAACTGAACCAAACCAAATCAAATTGCATTATGTTACCATCTAAATTTCACTTAACTCACATTCAACCCTAACCTAAACCTATTATTCCTTAATTTTATAATTATGAACGAATTTCTCTTCCTCACACTTAGGATTTTAGTTTCAACCCTCTCAATCGCCTTCTTCTCCAAATACATCTTGCATGTTATTCTCTAATCTCTACTCTCTTATATTTTTTTTCTTCTTTTCCACCTTCTCATAACTCTCTTTCAATTTCATTTTTATCACAGATCTTTTTCTCTAATCTCTCGTCTCTTTTGTTCTTTCTTTTTCACCTTCACTAATCTCTCATCTCCTCTATTTTTTGTTTCATTATAATGTTTTTGAAATTGTTTTATGCAATTGTTTTATGTTTATTATTCCACTTTTGTCTAATATGACTTTTACATATTAAATGAGAAATTGTGGTTCAAATATGATTAGTTTTATTGTTATTTGATTGTGTATGAATAATTAAATACAAAGTTAAATTATCATTAATATGTGTATGTATGACTCAATAATTTTTTTGAAAAAAACTAAATCAACCAAACCAAACCAAACCACATTTGTTTGATTTAGGTTGGTTCGGTTTTATTTTTAAAAGTCAACCGAACCAAATAAACCACATATTTTTTCTCTTGCGATTCAGATAATTTTTTGCGTCAAAACCGCTCAAACCGCACCGCGAACACCCCTATATATATATATATATATATATATATATATATATATATATATATATATATATATATATATATATATATATATATATATATATATATATATATATATATATATATATATATATATATATATATATATATATATATATATATATATATTATTTTTTTGGAAAAAAAGGGTCAAGACCCTTGTGTCATACTCCAAATTTGTCCGCCTTGGTGCTACAATCAAATTTTTTTTTAAACTTGGATTCTAAAATTATTTTGAGTTTATTCACACTAACATTTTAGGTTTTATAAATATTCATTTTTAAGTCTATTAAAAAATATAATAGTTTACCTTTTATATTTTTTAAATAGCAAATATCCGCGCATCTTTCATATACTTTCAATTGAACTATTATTTCAAATGAGTAAGGTAGAACAATTGATAAGGGGTAAAGCTTGCAAATGTGAGGTCTTAACATTATTTTTCTATTTTGTTGTTACTAATTTTCTTTCCTTTTTCAGAAATTAAATTTTGGGCTTCTCTTCCTTTTTGGTTAACTTACTTTCTAAGTTGTTTTAACCTAATTGTAAGTCTACAAATAGGACTATTGTCCATCATAATTTTTCATTCGGAATTTCACAATCTCAATCTTTCTCTTACTTTTGGTTATTCCAGAATTTCTAAACAAAATATATATATATATATATATATATATATATATATATATATATATATATCGACAAACTTGCTATCTTTCTTTCAAGCTCTTACAATTCTTTTCTAGTTTATTCTAGGGTTATCGACTTTAACAAACAACAGCCTAAGAACAATCTCATCAACAATCATTCACACATCCACGATTCTCACAATCCACAAATTTCGTACTCTTTGGTTTTTACAAATTCTTTATTATTGGTGTTATTTCATTATTTTGGCCGATGATTTTCATATAAGGCCCCTCTCCCTCTAAATTCTAATTTTATCTGTTTTTTTTTAACCACATGATGATCATCTGATGATTACTTTTGTTTTTCTAATTATATTCTTTATGTCAAAAAAATTCATATTCTAACCTTGTCACTCTTTTACATGAATTTTCGCCTGTTCTTCTAAAATTTCTCTCTAACAATTTCTTTTTAAACCACCCACTTTCATTTATAAATTTTTTTACGTGGTAACCAATCACACTTTACATACCTGACATATGACTTTGTTCATAGTTAGGGATGACAAGCAGACCCAAACCCACGGGCCCCACCCGCACCCGCACCCGCACCCGAGTCAACGGGTGAAACTCGAATTGACTGGGTTTGGGTTCGGGTTCGGATGTGGGTTTGGGATAGCTTAAACTCGCACCCGAAACCACACCCGCTTATATGTTAAATTACAAAACTATCCCTAAATATATATATATATATATATATATATATATATATATATATATATATATATATATATATATATATATATATATATATATATATATATATTTCAATAATTAAAAATAAAATGTGGGGTTTATTGTTCAGGGTATGTTTGGATTTACCGTCACCCACCGGCCACCAACCCACCGTAACATCATCCACCTTCAATCCGCATCATCCATCATCAAATAACCATCTTCTATCTAACTCCCTCTCTTTGTATCCAGCACGTCAGTGATAACGGTAGATACACCTCTGTTTTCTTCATCAACACCATCCTTTAAGCTTTCTCTGCGCGCAGCAATTCATTGCATTATGCGTTAACTGCCCAGCCTCATTATCCTTATCAAGCTTCATCAATTCTCCGCGCCTACTTCCATCGCCATTCAACTACGAACAACATCTTCACTTCTTCTGACGAATTTGACATCCCGGTAATCGTTTTCTCTCAACTTTGTTCAACTGAGTTGCTGATTTGTTTATATAACTACGTTTGATTCTGTAGTAGTGTTGGATTATGCTGAATTTATTGTGTCGGATGCCATTCTATTTGTGTATGTTGAGTTGTTGTCATGTTTTGTTTGAATTCGATTGAAATTTATACCGTGAAAATTTGTTCTCGTTTTGATTTCAATTGAATTTGTGGCGAATGATATTCATGTTAGTTTCGGTGAAGTAGACGTCTATTCCGTGTTCATTTGCATAGAATATGACCAAGAAACTATGGGGCAGCCGGTTTATTTTTATTGTTGAATCAACTTTTAATTGGAGAATAAACCCTTATCAATTGCTTTTCTTCTTTTAGAGGCAGTTTCATGCTGAATCATGTGTTCCATGTTTCTAATCTGAAACCAAATTATAAATCTAGAGAAGTTAACACAACAAAACAGACATAAGAATCAAATCCTGGTAAACATCTCAGGAATAACAAAATGAATGCATACCTTGCTATCGATATCCCCTACAGAAATTGCATTATTTAATCTATTCATGGTGGATTGAACTGAATCCATCTCCTGCCGTTTGGATTTAAGAAAATCTCTACCAGCTCTCTCTTCTTGTACTGCTGCTCTAAATTCTTGCCCATACTCTTTACAACTGGCCTGATTGAATTATCATTCAAAATAATTATCTAACATCTTAGACTGTTCTTTTCTATTTTGTTAATCAAACATAACATTCTAATATGTTCTGTTATGCATATTTGCTTACCTTTTTAGTCTGGCTTTCAGCTCGAATTTCATCACGAATTTTAGTCTTCTCTTCCACTTGTTGAAGAGCATGTTGAATCTTCTCTTTTATATTTTCATCATCATCATATCTAGGAACCCGGATCAACCAATAGAAGGGCTTTCTCACCACCTCAGTGACCATATTCTGAGCATCCAAAGCATCAGTGGCAGATGCGTCTTGGGATGTTTTCAAATCTTCATTGGTCTATTTGCAAGAGTAAATTCCATATAAACTTTAAATAAGCTGTTTTTAAAGCTCCATGAGTGGATTTATCAAAATAAACAATGGAAATAAGCTTAGAACAACTTATAAGTTTTTTTTAAACATTTACTTATTATGACCAAGGTACTGTGTTTTGAATTCCGAGTTTGATTTTTTGTTCTTCCATTTGTTCAACTATGTTATTGACGATGTTGTTAATGTTATTATGAATTTTAGTATTGAATATTAGTTCAATGTTTCAGATTTCAAAGCAATGTGATGAATGTGGTATATTCAAGTAAATTGAAGTTCTTCAATCAATTTCATAACTGTTATGTTTCCTATTCAATAATTTTGTATAGAATTTGATTAATTTTCTCTTCTATATAATCGCTTTTATAGAATTGGTGTACATAGGAATTGAAAACATCATAACAAAGCAAACATTGCAAGGTCTATTGGAGGTGCCGAAGCTAGACTTTCTCAAAAAGTTGAAATTGCACACTGCATCTATTGGAGCTTCACAGAGAGGTATGAACCTTTTTATAAATGACTCATCAGAGATTTTGAGGATCCTTGTATGTATCTCTATCATCATTTATATGAATGCAAGTTGATATGTTAATTCACCAATGCAATTTGTTTCGATGATTTATCGAAAAATAATGTCCAGATAATTTTACTGAAGTTTGATGTTCATAATGACCTATGATTTGAAACTAAACTTAATAGTAGAGTGAAATCCATATAATGTTATCGATATATTTGAAGCTATGATTAGAAATTGTATAGAAGTACCATTAGGCTTTTTGAAACTGAAATTATTATAGAGAAACGATTGTTGACTTCAAAATTTTGATGTGAAATGAATAATACAATTTAGTTACGTGAGAAAGATCTTCATCTATATCACTATTACCTTTTTATTTTAACAAAATCAAACCAAAAGTTTATCTATCTATCAAGGACTACTCCTTTTTCAAATATGGAGTTTTCTTATCAATGATAATGCAGAAGTACATTGCACTTTGAACCAAGTTTTCTCACTTTATATAAATTTAACCATGACCAAAGTACACACTACTTGCGTACTCTACTTTGATAGTATAAAAGTTATGCTATGTCTGTTCACATAAACTAAAAGTATGTTTCAATCTCGCGTCAAGTCAGACATATGAACCGAATTGTATTTGGATCAACCCAATACAAATCATAATGGAATGTGATTAGTCCAATTCCAATTAAAACAGTTTCGAAATGTTGACCAATAGTTTGATAATAACTATGGTGTATTTATGATTGTTTTTTAATATTAGTTTCCTCCATGTTTTGTGGGACAAGTTCTGAATATAAGTTGCATTGAAATTATGATGGAAGTCAATATAAAGCTTTGAGTTGTTGTACCAATGAATACCAACATGGAAGTCAATATAAGTTGCTGGAATGTGAATCTTTGACAGTTGAAAAAGAGAGATATAACTTCATATTTGAAACTAAACCATGTTGTCTCGTGTAAAAACATTACTTTTAATAATAGCTTTTATCAATAATAGTTTTTATCATTTTAATTTCTTTTTTAAACTTTGTATGAATGTTAAGGTGTTTGCGATTATGAATCTTGTGGTGGTATGTTTTTTCGTGCCTTCTTAAAGTCTCATTTTCTTTTATACAATTGTTTATGAAATTTCTTGTTGTTTGTAGTAGGTAAAATGGATCAAGTGAACACAACCCCGGAACCAGAAGGAGCATCTAATCCTACACAAGAAAGTACATGTCCAACTCAGGAGGTATCTTCTAATCCAAATCCGACACCTGAACCTGATATTGGGCAACAAGAAGAAATTGATACAATTTTAGAACCTGCATCAAAGAAACTTAGAAGTAATGTGTGGCAAGAATTTAAAAAGATGAAAGTGAATGGAAAAGATAAGGCTGAATGCATCTGGTGTAAAAAACAACTTAGTGGCACTTCAAAGAATGGAACAAATCACTTGAAAGGACATCTCTTGAGTTGTATTCAAAAAAAGATCAAGACTAGAAACCATGACAAAGGACAACCATTTCTCCTACCGACTATCTCAGAAGGAAAGCAAGAGTTGGGAATTGGAACTTATGATCCAGAACATGTGAAGAAGTTGATTGCTGAAGCTATTATTATGCACAATTATCTACTATCAATTGTGGATCACATTGGTATTAGAAGAGTCTTTGTTTCTCTCCAACCATTGTTTAAAGTTCCTACTCGAAACACAATCAAGAAGGAGGTATTGAAAGTTTATGATTTTGAGAAAAAATATGCTATGAAGATGTTAGATAACCATGAAGGGAGAGTGACAATTACCACAGGTATGTGGACTTCAAGCAACCAAAAAAAAGGGTATATGGCAGTTACAGCTCACTATATTGATGGCTCGTGGACTTTACAGAGTCGAATCTTGAGGTAACAATGTTTATATTTTATAACTTAATTGTATCTTTTTTTTTTGTTCTTAATGACAATAAGTGAAAGACTTGTTTTTTGTAAATATTATGTTAGGTTCATTTATGTTCCAGCCCCTCACACTAGTGAAAGACTTGCTGAAGCACTTGTTAATTGTTTAATGGACTGGAACATTTACTTTAGATAATTGTAGTACAAATGACTCAATGATTAGGAAAATTAAGGATAAGTTGTCGTTGGAATGTTTAATAAGGGATGGGTCTTTGTTACATATGCGTTGTTGTGCGCACATCCTAAATTTAATTGTTCAGGAGGGGCTACAAGTGATTAAGGATGGCATAGAAAATATTCGGGATAATGTAGGATTTTGGAGTGCTACACCTAAAAGGTATGAAAAATTTGAAGATACCGCTAGACAATTGAGAATTATTTGCACTAGAAAGTTAGCTCTAGATTGTCCAACAAGATGGAATAGCACATATAAGATGCTTGATATTGCCATAGAGTACAATGATGTATTTATTCGGTTGAAGCAACGTGAGTCTTTGTACACTTGTCTTCCAACTAATTCACAATGGCAATTTGCTAAAGATGTTTGTGGGTGCTTAAAATTATTTAATGAAGTAACTGAGTTGATTTCTGGTACAAAATATCCAACTGCCAACTTGTACTTTCCTAAGATTTGTAAGATTAAGTTGGCAATAGAGGAATGGAAGAAGTCTTCCAATTCAATTATTGAGATGATGGCCACAAGAATGATGGAAAAATTTCAAAATTATTGGAGTGGTGTTCATGATATGATGGGAGTTGCTGCAGTTTTGAATCCTAGGAAGAAGATGATTGTACTTAATTTCTGGTTTCCTAAGTTGTATGGAGAAGAATCAAGTGCACAAGTTAGTAGAATCAAAGACATGTGTTATGATTTGCTCAATGATTATCAACAGATTAAACTTAGAGATGCACAACCTACTGCTCCATCCATTGGTACAACTGCTATTATTGATGACGAGGCTGAATTTGATGCATACGTTGAGACAATTGCCGTTGCCGAAGACTCAAGTTCAAGTGTTAAGTATGAGTTAGATCATTATTTGAAAGAGCCAGTTATAAAAAATACTCCAGAATTTGACATTTTGAATTGGTGGAAGATAAATGGAGTTGTGTATCCAACACTTCAAGCAATTGCAAAGATGTGTTAGCTATTCCTATCTCTACAGTAGCTTCTGAATCGGCCTTCAGTAATAGTGGTAGAATATTGAGTCCTCATCATAGTCGACTTAACAGGACTACCGTAGAGGCTTTGATGTGTGCTAGGAGTTGGCTATGGGCTGCTGAGAATAACGGTATGTCATTGTCAAATTATTTTTACTTTCTACCTTAATTTTTTTGTTATATAATGTATTACTACTTTGGTATGTCATTGACAAATAATATATTACTAATTTTTCTTGTTATATAATATATATAGGAATTTTTAGAGTTGCAGAAGAAATTGCTACTGTGTTGAATGAAATGGAGTCTATGAAGGTATTTTGTACTTCATTTGGTGTAGAAGTTTTAAGCTTTAGTGTTTTATTTAACATCAATTTATTTGTTAATACAGCTGAGTTGATGGAAGGTTGTTTGGGTTACCATTTTGAAGATTAGAAGTTGTTGTTTCTATATGTTAACATGGTGAGTATTATTGTTTCTATCTTCCACCATTGTTGCCCCGACTAATTTGCACTAATGCTTTTGATATTAGACAGTTCTTTTAGTATTGTGCTTATGTTTCTAGACAGTTCAAAAACATGATATTTAACTCGCATGCAAGCATGCTGAAAGTTAGTAGACAAACATTATTATAGGCAGTTTTATTCCAGTTGCAAACATGATAAATTATCAAGAATATGGCATGTTAAAATTATTACAATTTAAAAGCGATATATTATCTGTGTTGTAAGCTATTACATCTCTGTATGTATCAAGAAGTGGTCTAAAGAATTCTTCTTATTACAATTTAAAAGTTCAGCATTACCAAGAATTAAGTTACATGTTTTATATGTTTTAAGTTTCACATGTTTGTTATTACAATTTAAAATTATGATGATAATATCTATTAGTGAAATATATTTTCTTTGTAATAGGTAAAATAGATCAAGTGAACACAACTCCGGAGCCGGAAGGAACATCTAATCTTACACAAGAAAGTTGTAATATATTAGCTTGTTGTTGTTGAAAAATTGTAATTTGATTGTAGAATTTAATTTTAATTGTAATGTTAAGATGTTGAAGACTATGTTAAGATAATTGTGATTGCATTTTCTTGAAGACAATGTAAAGAGACCTTATTTTAATTGTAATTTTTTTTTTGATTTTTGGTGCGGGTTTGGGTGAAAAAACCCGAATCCAACGGGTGCGGGCGCGGGTGTGATTTTGTCACCCGAATAGCCTTCGAGTTCGGGTGATGATTTCGGATGCGGGTGTGGGTAGTGTGAAACCCGCACCCGACCCGTTGCCATCCCTATTCATAGTGCCTATATTCACAGTTTTTTTAATTTTACATGATATTTTCCCATTAATTTATTAGAAAAAAACTACAACTTTTTAGTTCTAATTTTCTTCATTACTAACAGTAATATAAAAAACAAAATGATGGAGGGTCTATTTATCATCACGATTAATGAAATAGCATTTTTTCTATTTTTTTCAAATATACTAACAGCACCGTTGTTACCACACAATAGCAATCCAGAAGGTGAATCAAAATAAAAGCAAAAGGGAATCCAAACAGAAGCAAATAGAAAATCGAAAAAACGCATCACAACAATTTCACTAATACAATAACTTGTACTGATTTTTGTTTTTGCAGAACAAAGTTTCAATTTTTTTTTGCAGAAAAGAAGAAAATCGGCGATCCTGACCACAACTCCGCCGACGAACAGATCCGCGTGTTTTTCGTCCCTGTCGCGTCACCTTCACACCTGCCGTACAACACCGATGACGAAGTTGTTCTAACCACCGTCGTTGGACATCAACAAAAGCAACACACGATGTCATCCATTCCGACCGAAGATCGTAGATCTCAACCGCCAGAGCCTGAATGTGGTGAATCTATTTCTGTTTTTGCTTTCCCCATTCATCGGTAAATCAGAAACATGTGAGAATTCCCAAGACTTGTTTCTCTTCATTCTCACTCTTTGGCTTTATGTGATTTTATTATTTTTACTATTATTTTCAATTGCCATGTGTCACGTTTTTAATGACTATGCTTTAATCTATTAAAATCCACCCATGCTTTGTCAAAATAAAAGAGATAAACTAGAGAGCACCCAACGGCAGCTCTCTCCTAACATGGGGTATTTTTCTTCTTCTTATTTTTATTATCATTTATTTATTGAAGTAAATTAGGGCTTTAGTATTATGGGCTTTGGGCCATTAGTTTTCTCCTATTAATATTGTTACTTACTTCAACTCCTTACTACTTACACACCTCTGTATTTTACTATTAAACTAAGTTTACATCTCTACCTGTATTTTGAGCCTAATTCAATATCTGAACTTGAGCCCTCACTTGTCAGACCCTCATGTTTGACTACCCTGTTACAAAAGCACCCCTCAACCAATTTGGGCTCAAAATATCCTTGGGTCCAGATTTTCTTCTAATACACCACCTAGTCTTAATTGTACACCTCTGTGCATAAATGAGCCAAGTTCAATTTCTGAACTTGGGCCCTTAATATCCTCACCCGCTTTGTATCCTACAATACTCTTTATCAATGAAACACTTAAAATAGCTAATCAACGATCAAACCATTTTTCTACTAACATAATAAAACCCAAGACATTTTCGAAAAAAAAGATTAAATAGAATTACTTCCAAAATTAATTGCAAATTGCGTCTACGATCACTCAACTTACAACCCAAACAAGGTTCAAGGATAATTCGAAATCAATTATACGCAATCATATAAAAAACACCAACCAACACTACAAACTACAAATTGGGACTCTGATTCCTCATAAGATGATACATAGGCATACAACCTAAAATCGTGGTGAGTTCCCCTAACTAAAAATTAAAGCCGTATTCCTAACCTTAAACCTAAACTCTAGTATCCTTATGAACAAGGTAGATGAAGGGTGGCTAACACCCTCCCTTCGTCTAAAGCGAGTTAAGACTTAGAATATATGTATCATCAATTAGGGTTATTCCATTATTCTCGTCTTAGGATAAAAATTAACGGTGGTGACTCTATATTTTTTGCCGATTATTATAACTGGCGACTCTGCTGGGGACTCAACTCTAGGGTTTAGAAGCCTCTCCTTTTTGGGTTTAGGGTTTTTGTTAGAGATTTCAATTTTTGATGTTTTTCTATATTTGCTTATTTTATTTATTTATTTGGTCTATTTATTTATTTTATATTATTTTCATTATCATATTTTATTTGTGGTGGAATTTTAATTTTGAATAATTCAAACCCTTAGAAAGAAGGTTCATCTATTGGCCAAAGGGATATATCATCCCTATGACTTTTTATGACGACTTTTCCTAGAGTCGGTGGAATTCCAAAAAAGGAATATGTCTCAAGAGGTATCCTCTTTGGGGATAGGACTTTGGAATGAAACATATGACTATTTGTATAACCCTAAACCAAAATCTCTTGGTGAGACCTTGTACGACCTTAGAGATGAAAGTTTAGGTCTACAATGGGGTTCCGCTTAAGGGAGACCCTTGTGCCTTTCCCTCTAGTGTTATCCATGATACCCTTAAGGAAGCCACCTTATTAGGAGGGTAGAATATCCGTGTGGGGGACGCATAGTGTTACAATGGGTATGCATTCTTTTAGACCATTTAATTAAGATCGCGTGTCTTAGATTGAGGGTGCGTAGTAACGATGGTGGGATGACACGTATTGGATCCTTAAAAAAAATATTTTTACAAAAAGAAACTCATTTCAGTATTTCATTCTCTCGTTTGTCTCCCTCTCTCTCTCTCTCTCTCTCTCTCTCTCTCTCTCTCTCCTATCTCTGTTTCTTCACACCACACAAACCCTAGCTCCTCTCAAGCGGTAGCAGCGCGAGCTTCTTCTTCCTCCCCGTTCTCCTTCTGTCTCTCTCTTCTCAGTCTGTTCCATCTCTCTCTCTTCTCTGCTCTCGCTGCAACAACAAACCCTAAACCCCTTGATTTAACCCCCAAACCCCAATCGCAATATCAATTAGGAAAAAAACAAAAGAACAAAGGTTATAACTTCGTTACCCTATACGCGAATCTGCTTATCCTTCTTCTCCCATTAATCCCCTTTTCCCCTCGTTTTTTGCAGGTACAATAATGGTGTTTTGATGATGAAGATGGAGGTAGCGGAATCAAAGGGGTGTTGGCCGCTGCGACGACTTCACACAGAGGAGTGTTGGATCTCTCTCTGTAAATTTTCCGTGTGTAACGATTTTTGTTCCTGTTTATTTTTTCCTTACGATTTCTTCCCCCCTTCCCCTGTAATGTTTTTCTTTTTCTTTCTGTCATGATTTCCTCCCCTTTGTTCTGCGATTGCGATTAGGTTTTATAGTGACTTTAGGTTAATAGTTTTACGAAACAATATTATTCGTTTTGATTGAAGTTTGATTTTGTATTAATTGAGCCTTGATGTAGTTTCTGTTTTTGTTGATTTTGTGTTGAGTATTAATAATCTATTTCCATATTCGATTGATTTTGTATTGATTAAATCTGTTTATGTATGATATCGTTTTTGTATTATGGTTTTGTTTCTGCATTAAGAAGTTTTGTTCTGATGAAGATGTATATTGTTTATGTACTTAGATGATAACTATTTTCCATGTGTTTTTTCCTCTTTAATCAAAACAATACATGTTCTTATGTTGGGCTGGAGCAGTTTGACTTTGGGCCTGAAAATGGGTCATTGTGATGGCCTTTAATGTTTTGGGCCTCTACCTTGAAGCCTCAATGTATTTTTTTCAAAACAAAGTTTTAATTATAATTGTTTTAATTATAATAAAACATTAGGATGAATAACAGTTTTAATAAATACAAATAATAGTAATAATGATAAAATAAAAACAAAGCCCTATTTTCAAACAAGCACAAAAATCAGGATTGGGCCATCGTCCATAATATTGGGCCTCAACAACATAAGTTACTTATGGGTCTGATATTTTAAAATAAAAAAAAAACAAACCATACTCTTAATGGATTCTTAAAAACCTTAATGGGTTATAACTTGATGGGCCAAAAAAGTTTAATTCATATGGGCCTGCTAATTCAATCTCTGTTTTTAAAATAAAACAAACACCTTTATAAAACAAACAAAATTTCTCAAAAACAGAAATGGGCTTTTAAACAAAACAAATTGTTTCATACACCCTTTCCAAAAAGGATGAGATCTCAATGGGTCTTAAGAAAACATATTGCTTCACACATTCTTCACAAACTTAAATGGGCCTTAAAGAAACGATTTGTTCACACTTCCTTTAAAATAATACACCTCCCTTAGTCTGAAATGAACTTCTATTTTTAAAACCTTAATGGGCCATCAGATATTGATGGTCTATTTTAAATCTATACACCCCTTTTTATGTTTTACTTCCTCCATAGAAACAAGAATTAAACAATACTTTCTTAACAGAAACCTAAACATAATTATAAGGATAGAGCAAATTTGGGGTATGACACCTACGTACTAAGGAAACTATTGTCATTCCATCCTTCATAAAAATCCTTCCCACGGGTGACATTCTATTGTAATTTTAAACCTACATGGGGTTACCTCTTATCATTATTATACCCTAAAATCATAGGGGTATTCTTTGGTTTAGATCGTAGAGTTTTCTATTTAGTCATAATCCCTAGTCTGTAGGGATCCCCTTTTGTCCGTCATTATCCTTAGAACCTTTATAGGATCTTGTTTCCCATATGGAACCTTCCCACGAAGGACGTCCTCGTTGATGCACGTCACGTGGCCTATATCATGCCATGGGATTTGGTGACCTTTGATCGGTCACCATGTGCTCTCTTCCACGCTATTCCCTCAAGTCCAATCTTCATCTCAACTATCCATTGGTCTATTACAATTCCTAGCCTGTAGGAATTCCCGTTCCTCTGTTACAATCCCTAGCTTGTAGGGATTTCTCTTCATCTTTCATTGTCCATAATCCTTAAGGAGTTCATGTCTGTCTTAATCTATGAGTCAGTGTAGGATATCCTTATTTCCATGTCTATCATTAAACCCGTATAGGGTACCCTTATGTTTACCTTTATACTACGTTCGCGTTGCATCACATATCTATGAAACTTTTTTTGCATACCCTTAAAGCCAAAAATATTTTTGCATACCATACATTCATACATACGCATTTCCATCTTTGCCCTTGTCCAACTATCATCCAGCTAACAAATTGTTCGATACTTAAAGAACAAATTCCAAGCATACTTCAAGAAAGCTTGGCAGAACTCGAGAAGTTCATAAGTTATTAAAGAAGAAAGTCAACCAGTGAGCTTCAAATCTTGTTAAGGAGAGAAGGCAACCCTTCGTCATACAAGTCAAAAGCTTACAACGCCTCAAATGCAACTATCATTGGTGACTCCTCCATATTAAGAGCAACAACCATATTGACAGAATATGTATGCCCAAGAAACGTCAAGGATCACACTATGCTCTGACAAGTCCAAGAACATCCAAAAGCTCTCCTAAAGTCAAGAAGATCAACAAAGAAGCTCTTCCATAGGATCATTAGATTTTATCAATTTCAAATTATAATTTCTATATTGCTAAGTTGTATTTGGTGTAAATTTGTATCTTTTGACTAGTGATTCAAATAAATAATCATGCATGATTTTGAAATCAATCCATTCGTATTCACTATTCTATCACTGTCCGTAAATAATCAACATCTCTCCATTTCCACTTTTCTTTTCCATTTTCCATTTTTAAATCTTTAATAAAATTTGAGGAAGAATGATGAAAACTAAATAACTAAATTTTGATAAACTATACTTTCAATGTAAGACCAAGCTGACGATGTAAGGAATTGTTTCACTTCCCAAG